TGCTCAAGTTTGAAAAGCACCCATCTACTACAGAAACCCTGTAGTAGTGGTATAACCTGTTTTATATCTTTTGGTAACAGGGAACTCAATCTCTGGGGCAACATATTCTGTTAATGAAACTCTTGTCCTTCCATTCTTTAAGATTAAATCTGCTTCACTATAACTTCTACCTGTGGCTCTAATACTGTCCCTTGGAATGACTGAAAATAAATCCTAGTCAAATTCCACACTTCAAAGAAATTGAAAAATTCTCAAAAAATGGTCGGGGAACACAAGTTCCAATTTCCATACTTCCTTGAGATAATATTAGTTCTAGGACTTCTGGTTTAATGCAAAATATGGCTAATTGCCCTTGAAGATAACTTCCTTAAATTTGCAATAAAATCCACAAGAAAATACAGAAAAAGTGCTAACTTACATTACCACACAAAAGTAAGAATGAAGTAGTTGAACTAATAGAAGAAAACTTCCAAAAATATATGTTTCCTTGGAGTAAGACTGTTTAAAGTTTGGCACCAAAGGCAGACATTATAAAGATTTATAGATTTCACTGTAAAATTATTGATGGCTTCCATATGTTTTTAAAAAGTTAAAGGCAAATGATAAACTAGGAAAAACTTTGGGGAGATACATATATTTTTAAAATCTTTTATATGTATATTTTATAAGGTAAGCACCATATATTGAAGGTATAGTACAGGAAGTGATACACACTAGGTTCTCAAACATTTGATAATAAATGAATGAAGATGAGTTAAGCAAATGACAATATAAAAACTAATGCTAAAATAGCCAATAGAAAAATGAGCCAAGGGTATGTATATGCAATTGACAAAGAGAAAATAAACACTTAAAATGTTATTCTATCTTAATGAAAAATGAAAGTTAATTAGCACCTATGAAATAGCTAAATTTAATGTTGGTGAGCATCTAGGAAGATGGACTTTTCATAGAAACAGATGGGAAGATTAATCCACACAATGTTTCAGGAAGGCAACTGGAAATATGTACTAAAATTTAAAAATTTTGCATGCCAGTAGATAGCTATATACATATCCTAAGGAAACATTCATAAATATGTATAATGATTTGACAACAGGGATACTGATTACAGCTTCATTTATAAAAAGTAACACTTGGAAATATCTCAAAAGAGAAGATAGGTAGATATATTATGTTACAGATAGACAATAGAATAAGACATGACCCTTAGAATATTGTAAAAAGATAGAGGCATGGAAAGATTATTCCTTGAATATGGCTGAGTGATAAAATATTGATTACAAAATGGCAAGTAAAATGGCTCTCATGGTCCCTTTAATTCTTTTTTTTTTTTCCAGATTGAATATTCTCAATTCCTTTGACCATTTTCACTTGAAAAGTGAGCATGTTTTCTGAATTCAAAGGAAGACTTGGGGCCACCCTGAAAAACGCTTGGGGAATACAAATTCCAATTTCCATACTTCCTTGCTTAATTTCCATGAACACACTCTGCTTTGTAATGTTACCTTAAAGCATGGGTCTGGTAATCCCCTACTGGGATACCATGGGGACAGTGCACACTATTCCCAAGGTGATAGATACCACTAGGTAGAGAGGGTAAGAAAGGCATTCCAAGCAAAACCACAGAGACAAAAAAGGTTCTGGCATGTTCTGGGAAGGGGGAGTAATTCTACTCCACCAGAACCTAAATGGTATGATGAGGGAACCTGGCGTGGGTAATAGATGAAATGGAAAGGTAGTAAATTTTTCTTTCTAAATAAGCTAAGGATTGGAGCTTTTTTCTAGTCATGCCAAGTCTGAAGCTTTAAAAAGGCACACTGAGATCCATGTTTTGACTATATTCTGGCAGGAGGGGGATGGTTTGAACAAAGGATACCATATGCTTAGTGAACTTTTAAAATTTTAGGATCAGATGTGTGGCTGCTTTGCTATTTAACTGGTTTCTTCTGGTACTTTCTCTTTTATTTCGGCTTAGGGTTTTCTTGGTGGGCTCCAAGGAACAAGAAGAATGTGAGCCCACCCCAGGCAGAGATAGAGAGTAGGGGCAGACAGAGAGCATGCATGTCTCCTGCTATTGTCCCATTCATGTTTTCCCTGATGTGGGACTTGGGCAGCACTGAGGAGGTGGGCACCAATCCCAGGGAAGGGTGTGGCTCTGGGCTCAGGCCTTCCCCAACCCTCTCCTCTGTGGTGGGGGTTGTGGGCACTCAGTGCTTTCAGCAGCCTCGTGGGCTCCGTTGGTGGGCCTGTGTGCATCTGTAGGGCTATGGTGTTTTGCTGGGGAGCAGGGGAGAGAAATGGAGCAGGCAGAATTTGAGAAGGAATTGCTAGGTTTCTGGGAAGTCAGCATGTGCTTAAAACAATTTAAATTGTAACTGAGAATGTAATTAGGTGATTTTTGTTTTTGTTTTAATGGAAGACTTCAGAACCTGTGACTATTGTTCATGAGCACATGCCTGGATGTAGTAATATTTTGAGTTTATGGAAAATGTGGTCAGCTTCATAAATCAGCACTGAGCAGTTTGCACAGAGTCATCCTTGTGCAAGTAGCACAGATCTGTAGAGTCTTCTAAGGTTATGCAAAACAGAGCAGAATGAGCATGTAGGCAAAGTTCAAATATAGTCTTCCCTTCCCCTGAAATTCTTTCCTGAGTGGCCATGAGGCAGCTCTGAATTCCCATTCCTACCCAGCCCATGACCTCGTTTAACTCTGTGTAGACAGAAAAAAATTGAGGTCAATGCTATGACTACAAAAACACAATTTTCTGTATCTATTTCTCCACAGTATCTTAAAATTTTAGCAGGATTTCTATAAAGAAAACCCATATAAATTTTAAAAGCAGGCTGGACAATCACAATTTGTGATGGTTCTGAGAATATGGTCAAATATATTCTAATTTTTAGATCTCATGCATCTCAAATCTATTATTTTTGGGGACTGGAGGATGACAGTTCAAGGTGGGATTATGTTTCTCAAAAACATATGGAACATCTTCAAATGTTAATAAAACTTTTAACTTAGAATTAGTAAATAAAACTCTGCAATTTTGTTGTGATTCATTAAAGGGAATTCCACCAATTTCATTACATTGTTACTGGGCGTAGACAATTCCAGTATTTGGTTCTTACATCTTATAAGAAGTAATATTTCCTTCTATCTGCTTTTCTTCTTACATCCCTCCCACTTCTCAAATTGGCCCCTGTTTAAGAGTTTGTTTCTGCCAAAGTGTTCATCAGAGTTGGAATGCTAATACATTTTAGTAGAGATGTTTTTCAGTTGTTCTGAAAACAAAACAAAACAAAACAGAAAACCAACAGAACAAAGCCTTGTGCACTGTCACAAAACAGAACCAGCATGTTGTCACAAAAATATAGTACTGCTGACCCTCAGTTTTAGGTATCTTCTTTTTTTTTTTTTATCATCTCTTAGAGGAGTCTCATGCAAAAAAAATTCTTAATTTTCCACAGAAACCAGATGTATAACTTATAAGGCCAAATATTTACCAAGTACAAAGTTTATGGCTTTTGCCAATTTCTGTTGATGGGAGAGCCTATACTTTGGAATTTGCTATAGCAAAGTGTTTTTGTTGACTTTCACAGACAGAATACAAATTCCATGTCATGGGGGACAATCAACCAAGCATTTATTTGATGTCATACTTGCCGGCTGTCCTTGCCACAATCTGGAGCAGAAAGAGCTAACTGGATAGTGGCTTGACCTGAAAGCTATGAAACTTTGAAACTTTCAATCAAATCCCTTCAGTCACAAACCACCCACTGTTACCAGGTGCAAATGGAGAGAGGCTCTGTCCTCATGTTTGTCTTAATAGCTGTGCCATGTTGAAGAGTGGGTAAGGTTAAACATGTGAGTGTATTTGATAAACATCAACTGCAGTATGTCTTGAATTTTTGTATCAACCCTCCACAGACAGTAGAAAAGCACACAGCAAATAATAACAAAATAATACAGTTTTCCACTGATTGAGCATTATTGTGTTCAACATTGAGCTAAATACTTTATAAACATTACCTTCTCAAAGCAGTCACACCATGAAATAGATTATCAACTACTTTATAATCATGAAGTTCAGAGAGGTTAAGTGACTTGCCTGGAGTTTTTCAGCTAGTAAGGAAGTGAGATTCTAACCCAGTCTTAGCCTGCTTTGAAAGGAGCTCTAAATTAGACACGTTTATTCAGCTTTTGGGTTAATTTGCCTGATTCCTAGAGAAGCAGGTAGAAGATGCAGGTTGCTGGTAGTTGAGAGAGAATCTGGTCTCAAAGTTTTGCTCCATAAAATTTAAAGAAGAGAGACCAGCTCTTAGAAGACCACATAGTAATGATGTGATTTCAGAGGAAGTGAGGTAGTTTCCAGTATTGTTACTATTCAAACAAAAACATGCTATTCAGCTTCTATTTCCTCTGTTTCCTCATTTACAAAATGAAGACAGGAGCTAGGTGGTTTCTAAGGTCTCTGTTGCTCCCCCTTTTCTAAATCCTCTAAGTTGGAGCCACTCCATGCTTGGCTCTTAGAGTTTCAGGGCAAATCTTCACCAGGATAGAAGATCCTCCTATAGCCCTGGGCCAGCTGGGCCCATCACTTGCTGGGAGATGGTGAGAGTATTTTGTGTCCCTGTCTCCTGGCCCTGGCTTGTGGTACCACTGTCCTATTGGTCACTAGTGGCCAGTGTGACTGAGAAATGACAGCCTTTCTCCTGGTACTGCCCAAAGTAAAACCCTACTTTATTCACTTGTTCTACCTTTAAATCAAGAGGCTCAGGTCCTAGGAAGTTAAATTAAACTTATTTCTGTTAAAATCCTTTTCAGAAAAGCAAGTCAAAACCCAAGGTTTTGTAGTAACTGGAATTTTGAAAACTGGCATCTGATTTGCACAATAAGAAATAATAGCTGGATTTGTGTATCTGGAATTATTCTAACTCTACAACAACACAGAAAGAGCAAAAAGGAAAGTGTGTGTTATACTACTGATGAATCCTACCGTGTCTCCTGGCTGTGGACGCATCACAGACACACGATCATATCCTTTCCTTAGTAGGACCCACAAGGCATCGAGTTTTCCCTGAAATAAAACAAATGTACCAAGATTACATATGAAACCAACCAGTGGCCAGCCCAGACAGCTAGAACTTTCTATGCTTCTTCAATCATGTGAACAGCCCAGTAGTGGCAATGTTGCTGTGATAGGGCAAGTGGCTCTCCAAGTCCCCATGTTCAGGAATGTAGGAGAAGAGGCACCTCACAGGGGATGCTGAGGTTAATGCAGGATATACCGAGAGTTCCATGCAGCCCCACATAAACAAGAACAGGGAAGTTCATTCACATTCTTGGCTTTGCCCATACCACATTTCTGGACATATCTTCAGAACACAGTTGATCTTTTCAACTTTCGCTGTTTCTTTCTTCCTATTTGCTCAGAGTTCATAAATGAAAACAATGATGACAAACCAGGAACGTTCGTAAATAGAAGTGTTTACAGGATAAGACCGAAAAGAGGTCCATGGGCTGCAGATCCCTGGCTCTCCCATACAGTCACTCAGCAGCTGTGACTTACTCAGGAACCCCAAATGGACAAATGACCAAACGTCACAGGTTACTAAAACTCATAACCTCTTTGGAGTTGCTGGTAATTGGTTGAATCTGAGCTATGAGAAAGTCTATGTCTCTGGCCATTCTAGCTCCCTGAGCATGCTGAATGGAAGCTGTTTTCTTACACTGAAGACACTAAAATAAAAGAAAGTTTATTTAAATTGGCTTTTAATATTAGCCCCCATTAGTGACTCTGTTAACAGGCAGAAGAAAACATTATTTTGCCTTATTTCTCTTCATTGTCTTGTGGTAGGCAAAAATATCCCCTCCATCTCTAAACAATGATATACTAGTCTCTGGAACCTATGAATATGTTGCTTTCCATGGCAAAAAGGACTTTGCAGATGTGAAGTTAAGGCTCTCTCATGGAGGGCTTACCCTGGGTTATCTGGGTATGTCACTCTAATTACATGGATCCTCACTGCAGGAAAGCAGTGTGTGTGGGGTGTCAGGTTAGGGAAGATTTGCTGATAGAATCAGAGAGCTTCGAAGGAGGACTCAGACTGCTGTTACTGGCTTTAGAAGTGGGAGGGATTCACAACCCAGTGAGTGTGGGCAGCCTCTTGAATGTAGAAAAGATGAGGAGACAGTTTCTCTTCGAGCCTCCAAAAGGAACATAGCCCCGAGGGTACATTGATATTGGGTTGCTGAGACCCCTTTTGGACTTCTGAAACTATAGGATAATAAATTTGTGTTGTTATAAGCCACCAAGTTTTTGTAAATTGATATAACAGCAATAAGAAGCAAATACGCTCCCAGACTTATTCTGTTTGTTTATCAGCTCTCTCTGCCAGCTGGCATGCCAGTTCTGTGAAAGCAGAGGTGTCATTGGTCATTGGTTTTATTAACTGTTGTGTGACAGCCCTTAGGATGCCTCTGGTGCTCAGTAAATATTTGTTGGATGAATGGGTACATTCAGCACTACTAAATGCTGGGCTCAGTGCTTTTTCATGTGTCTTCTCATTTCAACCTTCCGGTGATCCCAAAACATGGAAATGGAGAGTCAGAGAGGTCAACTAAGGTGCCCAAAGGTATTCAGCTTGTACACTGGAGAGGTGTGATTGGAACCCATGTCTGTCTGATTATAAAGCTCATATGTTTTCAATTATACCAACTGCAGAGAATTCCTCAGGCAGATCTTTTGGCTGGAGAACTTTAATTAGATCCTTTCTGTGGATCTCTATCCGTCAAGTCCTCATGAAACAGTTTTGTATGTTAGGATCAGAATTGTTAGAAAATAGAATAGAAAAAAATATTAGAATAAGTATTGTTTTGTGAAAGCATTGTTTCAGATAAATATGTATGGGTGTGTGTATGAGTGTGTACGCACATGCACAGATGCACACTCAGACAAATAGTGGGTCAAATGTATTTCTTAGTGGAGTCTCAGCCAGGCATGTTGGAGAACACTGATTTATTTTTTTTTATTTATTTTTTTTTTAAAGATTTATTTGTTTATTTATTTATACAAGCACTGGGTATAGTCAGAGGCGCGGGAGGGTGAGAGAATTCACCAGAGCCAGAGCGGGGAGCAGAGCAGGCAGAAGGACGGAAGTACACTGCTGAGGGGAGCAGCGGGCGGCAGGAGGGGTCTGCGCGCCAGGTGGGACCCTCCTCCAGAGGCCTGGGAGCATCCGGGGATTGAACTGGTGCCGCAGAGGCTGCGGGCAGCTTTGCAACCCAGCGCTCAACCGCTGCGCCACCGGGGAGGCCCGGAGAACACTGATTTAGAAGAGGTCTTTGAAGGACAGTGCTGGAAAGGCTGGGGATGACTAGAGAGTTCAAGTTCCTTCACATAAAGTTTTAATAGTGGCAATGCTAATTTAAGAATATCATCTCGCATGGAATACTATACAGCCACGAGGAAAGAGGAAATCCTGTCACTGACAACAACATGGATGGACTTGAGAACATTATGCTAACTAAGATAGGTCAGAAAAAGAAAGGCACATTTTGTATGATATCTTGAATGTGCAATCTAAAAAGGATCTTTGGTGGTGGGCATGGAGGGGTATCATATGTGAAGAGGAGTGAAACTCTACTGCTAACACTTACAGAGTGTTGTAAACTAATGTTACCACAATCAATCTATCAATAAAAATCAAATAAATAAAAAGGGGAACTCATTGAAAAAAAACTCAAAGACTTCATGTTCTGAACTAATTTTCTGGCAGGTTATATTCAGATACCCAAAAAAAAAAAAAAAAACCAACCAAACATTCTTGAACTTTTATCAATTGTTGCTTGAGTTCTTGTGGGTTAAACTTTGTTTTGCTAAGTGTAGCATTTCTCATCTCTTGTCAAAGTATTTAGGAAAGCCTCTAAAAATATTTTTAAATGACTTGAGAATGCTGGATAGAACTGCTGCTGTGTTCAGCACAGTTTTCTGCATTAAATTGTTTCCATCATCAGTTAAATGTTTTCCTTTAAGGTTCTTTCAGACAAACATTTATATTTCAGGAAATAACCAGGTGGATTTCCTGGATGGATGCCCTTTCTCTTTCTCTCCCTTTTCTTTCCCTTTTTTGGGGGATACTCCCAGTATTTGGTTTTGTAAATCAGCATACCCATGCTATGTGCGAATCACTCAGCTCCTTGACAAGTGAGGAACAATGACAGAAAGAAAGAAAATTTGAAACTGAAAGAAAATTTGGCTGTTGAAGAAGTACATTAATTTACTCAGAAGAAATTTAAAGCTATACACAAGCAAAAGAGCAGAAGTCAGCTAGATGCAGAATCCCAGGGGAATGGTCATTAAGCTCTGTTTCTTTAGGGCAACAGATCACAGTGTAACATTTAAACACAAAATGACTGCGTTCAGACTGTCTGTCTATCCCTCACCAGCTCTGCAGACTTGGGCAGCTGTTTCATACTCCATAGACTTGTTATAGGGCTCAAAATTAAATATTGGAGTCAGGTACTTGCCTCATAGTATATATTCATTACATGTTATCTGAGATCATGGTAAAGTCATTAAAATGATAATTTGGGAAGCCCTGTAGAAAGGTGGAAAAGGATGTAATGCAGAGTATAAGAATCTAGTTATGTGAATTTTACTAGCATGAATCTACTCATCTTCTATTCTGCTTCCCTTCAACCCATTTCCCCTTTCCCTCAAGCCACACTTCTTATTCCCCTTCAACATGCTGTGGTCTGACTTCTGTGGCGGTGTTCAGTGGCTTCACCAAAGTTGCATTCCCAATGGTCACCCAAGACATCTTCATCACAAGTGCCAAATGCCTTGACCTCTTTCCTGCAACTTCTGCAAACTGCTGTGCTGGGATTCTTTCTTTGCACATACTCCTCTGGCCTCAGTGTCCTTAGCCTCGCCTACTCCTTCTCACCTCTCTGAGTAGTTCCCTTCAGTCTATTTGGCTTCTCCTTCTGCACTTGACACTGAAATGTTCCTCTGGGCCCACTTCTATTCTCATCCCTCAGATGACTGCTCACCCTTATTCTCAGCTACTCTCACAGGTCCAATTTCCACCTATCTGCTGATGGCTCACCATTTCTTCTTCCACTTAAGACTTCTCTTGAGCTTTGGATAAGGCCTCCAGTTACTTATCAAATCTTAGATATAATGTTGAAAACCAGATATCACAAATTGAACTTTCTCCAGACAGGTTCTTTCTTTTGCACTCCTGTCTTGCTTTGTGGCACCACCAACATCCAGGAGGGCCACATCCAGAATGGACACCATAACTCATTTTCTCTACCTTCACACTTCTCATACCCAACTCTGACCACATCTTGTGGATGTTCTCTGTGACAGCTCTCCTGTCTCTTTTTCCTGTCCATCCCTGCCCCACCATCTCCATGGCCACTGCCTTGGCCCAGGTCCTCATCATTTGTCATTCATCTTGTGAGCAGTTTCCTGATTGGTCTTTTACCTCCAGGCTCCCTATCTTCTCTCCTACATGATTAATAATGGATTTCAAATATTCTGATTACTAAAGAGTGTGTGTGTGTGTGTGTGTGTGTGTGTGACAACAGTGGTTAGGGGAAAGGAAAGGGCTAGGACACCAGTACTAGTGTTTGGTGGAGGGTGAGCAAAGCATGTGCACATATGAAGGGGTGCACTTGTATTCCCAAAACTATGTCATTATGTAAATGACTGGCAAATTTGAAAACAGCTTTCATGATGGTTTGAATGGATGCACTGCAGTTTGTAAAATCAATTAAAAAATCTTACTAGCATTGTGAATTTGGGTAAGTTATCTAACCTCTCTTGGTTTTTACACCTGTAAAATGGGAGTTGTAGAAGTTTCTACTTTACAGGGTTGTTGTGGGAAGTAAAGGAGTGCATGGAAAGCCCAAGGGAGCTGCTATCACTGGGATTTTCTGCTGAAGTGAGACCAGCTAGTTCCAGTTGTACTCTCAGTGTTCTGAGTTCTGACTGTTCCACAGGTAAACTCAAAGTTCTGACCCTGTGGCACAGAAAACATTCTGAGTAATCTACATATTTTGTACCTC